CAATGTTTCACGGCTTTTTCCAGCTGTTTTCACAAATTATCTTCAAAATGTTCTTCAAAATTTTATCTGACCTCCTCCTCGCAGATATTTGGGAGGGGTCAGTTTCTTCGGCGGTGTGCAGTTTTTTATAGGCGTTCAACTTTAATAAAACAAAAAAGTACAAGATATTGAAGCGACAAAAAACAAACACATTAAACAACATGCTTACATTTTGGTATACGCACAACATGCACCAACAACACCACAATAAACTTTGAAGAAAAAATATGTTTATTTCCAATTAGGTTTTTTTTTTTTTTTTTTTTGATTTTGATTTTTTTATTTTGGGCAAAAAATCCAATGGGATTTTTAATTGACACAAATAACTATGGCGATTTTTCTCTCATTCGCTCCTTTTATATGGCCGAAACCCAAGCATGATTTTCCCTCCTTTTCATTTTTCGCACAATTTTCCGACATTTATTTATGTCTGTTTTATGCTACATCCAAACCTATTACGGTCACGCAGTGTTGCATTTCATGTACGTTACGTGACCGCATCCACTAACTACAATTCATGATTCATTTCATTATTCCATCTTAGCAACACTGTTTATATGCAACCAACTTCATAGCCTACCGCATCCGGCTTATTTCTCCTAGACCGGCAGCCACGAAGCACATCGATAAGAATTGCTGCCGGTTTTTTTTTATAAAAAAATAATGCAGCCACATGCAACACGTTATTTAACTAAATTTACTCTAAGGAGGTTGGTCGACAAGTGAACGCTGTGGTTCATGCAATCACAGAGGATTGCGGTGATCGCTGATGATCGGTTGTCGTTTACTACTACTAGGTTAAGCAAGGAGAGCAAAACCGCAACAACCACCGTTCGGTGGCATCTGCACTCTACGGTCTCCGCTGAGGGAACTTGCGGAGGAGATGCCCGTTGTGTCAGCCAGCAGCCGTGATTGACTGAGCTCGGGAAGTTGAGTCAGAACGTATCAAACTTATACACCGTTCATTTCGAAGGAAGGGGTTTTCATTTAAATTTTGAAAACTGAATGTTGTCGAAAGTAAATTTATGAAAAAATTGGAAACATATGACTGCGTGAGACTAGGTTAGGTTAGGGATGTACGGTTGTTGATAACAACCGTCCACTCGGAGATTATGTCGATTGTGATCATCCTTTTATATATACTGAAAGAAAAGAAAAAGAGAGAGTGGAGGAGTAGGGAGAAAGGATAGTGAGAGAAGAAGAGCGGAAGAGATGTTATTTTAGCCATGTCAAATTTTTGACAAAGCCTAGATCTGGCTTGTTTCCAGTTCTTCGACCTCACATAGACGACAGTAATCCTCTCCACTGGAGTCCCACTTCGAAGTGAGAGATCTAATTTTGCAGTTACCTCTTATGATCCCCACAACGATTTTGATCTCCCTCTTATTGTGTGTCAGCAGCGAAGACGTTCTTTTACGAGAAAATTCATTCCAGATAGATTTTCTGCAAGCAGGTTCCCTTAGCCATCTGTTACCGACTACCCCGCAGAGGACCGCACAGTTTCTGCCAATGAAATAGGCGATGGGAGGTTTCATAGATCTCTCAATCAGAAGATTGGACGACTGTGAGCCCCCTCGAGCAAGCTCGTCGGCTATCTCATTCCCTTCAATGTCACTATGTCCTGGAACCCAACATAAACCAACTATCTGTCGTATATCATTCAAAGCGGACTTACAATCATGAACTGCTTTCGAGTTTATAGTATGCGACTTCACCGCTTTAAGGGGCGCCTGACTATCGACATATATAGTCACCGGTCCCGTAATGTGATTGCAAGAATCTCTGCTTCCTAATTCCCTACAGTAAACGCCAGTGCCAGTGCCTTCCTCCATCTTAGACCCGTCTGTAAAGATTGACAGACCTGGCAGAGGTAAGGAGCCACTAGTCTAGGATTCCCTACTAGGAAATTCAACTTTGATGTCATTAAAGTCCCTATGAGGGGGAACATAGTCACTAATTGACTATTCCACCTATGGAATTCTTACATGAGTAGAGTGCCAGCAATCTTTTCTTAGAGCGTTCCTCAACATTCCTATTCCCAATTAATTTGCGGTCAAGGATGGTGCCAAGATATATTGGTTCTTCAGAAAGGGTTAAAGTCACTCCTCCCAGTGATGGCAGACGAAAACTAGGAATCTAGCGTTTCCTAGTGAAGAGCACCAGTTCTGTTTTAGTGGGGTTTACACCAAGACCTATGGTGCAAGCCCAATTAGATAGGGTTGAAAGGCACCCTCAAGGATGTCTGCAATTGTCGTTAGAAACTTACCCCCAAACCAGCAGGACTACATCATCGGCATAGGCTACAACCCTTATCCTGAGATGATTGAATTTCATAAGTCTCATTTATCACCAGAAGCCACAAAAGGGGGATAGTACTCCTCCCTATGGTGTGCCTCTGTTGACAGAGTGAGGGGATACCTGTGCTTACGAGACCAGAATGGATGGCTTCTAGCTTCACATTATTGACAGTTCCCTCAATATCGAGGAATGCTGCCAAAGTGTAGCCAGAGGACTCCATATTCTTCTCGATGCCCCCAACCACCTCATGCAGTATCCACTGATCTGCCTTTGATGTATGCATGCTGGGATTTTCTAAGTTTACTATGGTCAATGGTATTCCTAATTTCTGAGTCTAGTAACCTTTCTAAAGTATTCAATAGAAAGGAAGAAAGACTAACCGTTATGTAGCCTTTTGGTAGCGTATGACTCGGCTTCCCGGCTTTCGGGATGAAGGTCACTGTTACTTCTTTACATAGACTTGGTATGTACGACAGACGTAAACAAGCTCTAAAAATGTCCTGTAGAGATGATATAACTCGTTTATCTGCGTGTTACAGCATGGCCGGTATTATACCATCGCCCATACCAGTTTTGTGTGTCTTATAGTATCTTCTATCAACTTCTACTCCTCCCTCGTCCGAACTGTAGGCTGATGCACACAATGTGCACCCTCCCTATAGTCCTTACAACCAGGAAAGTGGGTTGATGATTGAAGATCAAGAGTCTCACTGCCACGTTCCATTACTTCGCTTAATACTACCTATGGATTTTGGATCCTTAGATAGTACTCTGAGGAATCTGGCCGCTTCGTTGACTCCTTCGATTAACTTGATTTCGCTCTTGTACCTATTGAATTGTCTTTTATACGCATCCAAATCTGCACTGAGATTTGTCTTACTAGCTCTATTGTAAGCTTTCCTTGCACCTTTCGCAAGGTTGCAAGGTTTAGTGACCACAATACCGGCTGAGATTTTTTCCCAGGGTATGTTAGGGGACAAGAAGCTCGTAGCTCTTCGGAAGAGTGGACGTGACATTATTCACAGCTAATTCCACATACTCAACCGTTTTTAGATCTTTAAGATCCAGGATCGAGGCTGATGTTTTAGCTTTGAATTTGTCCCAGTTTGTCTTCCGAGGATTCCTATAAGGTTTCTGTTTTCCTCTAGAGGTAGGAATCTGGAAGGATATGAGTCTATGATCCGAAAAGGAGCATTTCTCAGACACCTCCCAGTGCATGACCCCAGAGTCGTCCATATTCGTGAGGGTTATGTCGATGACTTCACCTCTCCCCCTATTTCCAAATGTTGGTGTGTTGCCTCTATTACAAATTCTAAGGTTATAGCTAAGTATAAACTCAAAAATGGACTCACCTCGTGTATTATTGTTGCTGCTTCCCCAGTGGAAGTGATGTGCGTTGGCGTCACATCCGATGATTATATCACCAACTTTGCCCATCTCCATTAGGTAGAATACTACCATACCAGGCAAGTCAAGAAGGTAGTGGCCCAGACCTTTGAGATGGTTATATAGGGGCGCCATTCTCGCCTCGACGGCTCAGGGATCATAGGCACTCGGTCATTTCCTCCGATACTCTCCCCCTGATTCCGCGACTGTTAATTTGTTATTCACAGTTACCCAACGAATAGCATTGGGCTTCCCACTATCCGCAACCTGTGGACGCGTCCGTTAGCATTCAGCTCTGCTCCCCGTAGGCGGAGACTACCTTGTATAATTATGCCATGCAATTGAGAGTATTTATCGAAAATTAATTAATTTTGAACTTAAAAGAACTTCGGATAAGCGAAACGTCTTGCGCTTAAACGAAGTTTTCAATCAATATCTGAAAAATCGTGAAATTTATAAATCATATTATAAAATGAATTGAGTAAGTAACTTAGGTATAAGTTGAAATTTTGGTGTAAAACAATAAACAAAAAGTTTGAAGAAAAAAACTCCGATGACATGAATTATTAATAGTGTTGTATGAACGGGTTAATTCATGTACGTAATTCTGAGAGCGAATTACGTTTTTTGAATGCTCGTTTGAACATGGCTTAAGTGAGTTCAACCCTTTCGATGTTATCGATAGTGCTCCCGTTATCGTCGACTTGCGGTGTCCCTAATCGGCAATTTCCCCATTTCTCTTTCTCAACAAAACGACTTTCACGCTATGTCCATCCCACCCTATTCGTAAATTTTCAAATTTCCACTTTGAGTTCCTCTTTATTGGTCATTTCTTCTTTTCCCCTATTTGCAGCAGGTGGAACGTTTTTCTTTTTTCTTTACTTTGCATGAGTAACCTCCAAAACACATTACTTTCAGTAATTACACTGTTGCTGCGAAATAATGAAAAGAAAGTACGCACGATAGACAATACTGATGAAAAAGAAGCTGTAGAAAAATAGAAATAAAAAAGTGAAAAAAATTCAGTTTTATTTTAGTGTGGAAATATAAAAAATATATATATAGTGAAGCAAAATGAGGTGGAACTTTTCACAAAAGCTACAGTACTTCTGATGTACGTTAAAGTTTTCCATTCGCCACTCTGCATACGAAATGGTAACTAGTTTCAGTTTCGTGCCTCATTTGTGTATCACCCAAAAGAAAATAAAATTCACATCATTGTTTATATGTATGTAGTGTGTCGTCGTATAGTGCAAAGTTAGTTTCTTAAAATCGGATCGGATTGTTTTGTTAATAAACCTTCACATCGATTTGTGTATAAGGAATCGAGCAAGCGATGGCAGGTGTTGGTGGTGCTGCTACTAATGAAATAGATGAATTCATCAATGGTGCCCTTGTCTCGTGGGTAAGTGTGTTATTACAGGTAGCCATTAATTCTAATCGTTCGCAGAGGAGAGTGATGAAGGAAAAAGTGTACCTTAAAGCAGAGGTGAATGTCTGCCACACAAACGAAGTTTCAGCGAAAACAAGTTATATACATTGTCTTGCCAAGATAACTGATAACTACATATATGTATTTAATGTATTTAAACAATACGCAGAGATAGTTGTTCGTGTTCAAACTTGGATAGGGGTTGATTTCATTTGTCACTCTAAAAACAATAGACGAACGAAGTAGCTGTAAAGGGACAATAACTGCACCCCTTAGAATAGCAGCTTATACTGGCATATTTCTAATCACCACCACGTTTGTAATTTTTAAGTTCTATGTCGTCTAATAAGTTACAAAAATGTATTTTTTATACATATGAGAATGTCTTAACCCCCGCCCGAAGACCCGCTATTTAAAACCCCTTCTTTGTATATTTTACAATTAAAAAATTAATATTAATCAACTTTAAAATTATATTCCATGATTTTTCCGAAATTTGGAAGCCTATATCTCGGGAAGTATGCATTTCGCCCACTAGTAACGACCATGCAAATAAGTTCGTCAAAGAAGAAGTTCGTTATAGGATTTGCAGAATAAATATGTATATATTCAATTAGAAGTTGGTCATTTCGACAATTCTTATGCTGCTTCTCTTTTTTTAATTAACTTGACATAAAAATTAACATTTGTGAGGGTTGTCATCGTCAGTATTACGCATATTTGTATAACCAAATTAATATAGGGTAAAGGCACCTAATTCCGGCATGTACCAATAGTCGGCATCTGTTTTATATAACTTCAAATAACTAAAAAATCCTATAAAATTTTCAAAAATACCTTGAATAATCTTCAATAACACTGCAACCTATCTCTGTATAAAATTTAATCGAGCGATGTACATTTATTGAGTAAATGAGGTTTGTCAACACTTGCGATAATTCATGTTTCTTAAGAAAAAATTAGTGGACATGTCGAGTTTAAAGGACTTATAACTTTAAGAATTTTCGCTTTTTAAAAGTTTCAACATTCCAAATGCATCTTTTCCACGATATTGTATTTAGGTTCATCTGTTTCGAAATTTTGTTTACTCCCCGATGGAATACAAATTTGTTTCCCAAAGTCGGCACCATGTTTTATAATTGTAATATTTTAATAAATAAAATTATTTTATGGCGTGCGTTGTTCGCTCTATCATTCGTTGTTCGACCCTTAATTATGAAGTAATTACTTAGTTCCCCATACAAAATAACCTCATACAGAATAACCCAGAAATTTGTCCCATCATTAACACTTGAGACCATTTATCGAAAATAAATTAATTTTGACAGCTTGAAAATATTTATAAAATTTTCAAACTTTTTTAGTAAAATTTAAAATGATGAATGGTGGTCACAGAATTAAAACATTTACTGTGACAAACATTTTTTGATCAGCCCTCGATTCGTTTGAAGTATTTTTGAAAATTTTTTAATTCAGAACACTTCGATATACTGCACTTAAGAGATTTAGTGCGAAAATAGAAAATTATTGCATGCAATTTTCCATAAATAACGGTTTTTATGAAAATACATCGATTTTGAAGTGGCCATTTAATTAAAACATTGTGTGATTTTTTACTTTACTGTTTTTGAAAATATTTTTAAAAAAGCTCATTAATTTAGTTCAATTATGTAAACTAAGCACTGATAGAATCATTTACAGATAAAAATATCTGAAAAAATCTGTAAAATCTATCAAAATTGCCAAAAATTTGTACAGTACACCTAACATTCAGAAAACACCCTTATTATAGAAAATAAAGGTCCGAATGCACTAGAAATTGCTAGAATTAGTAAAAAACAATTAATAATTCTCAAAAAGAATAAATATTTGAAATAAAAACTCAAAAAAATGGAATTAACCTAAAGGAACGATTCAATTTCAATAGCCTTTACTAAAGAAGGCCGGAATATTTTTGCAGTATGTGAGAAAATATAGATTGATATTGGTATTTATTATATCAAATCGATTGTTCGAGTAGTACAGAATATATTTTATCAAAAAATATATCAGTCACAACAGAACGAACAGAGATCAAGGCCTATGTTGACGAGTAAAGGTTTCTGGCACACAGCAGCATGATTGATGGTCAACTCTTAACCCTTAAAATCTATTGAACATGACAATATTTTTCCAAAATAATATTTTATGAAGAGAATAACTTCCACTTAATCTATTTTAGTAAAAAATTAGGAAAAATTTTACACTTTGACAAATATTTGAAGACTTGTGTTGAACATCAAAAATACTGCTGTGTGCCAGAAACCTTTACTCGTCAACATAGGCCTTGATCTCTGTTCGTTCTGTTGTGACTGATATATTTTTTGATAAAATATATTCTGTACTACTCGAACAATCGATTTGATATAATAAATACCAATATCAATCGATATTTTCTCTCACATACTGCAAAAATATTCCGGCCTTCTTTAGTAAAGGCTATTGAAATTGAATCGTTCCTTTAGGTTAATTCCATTTTTTTGCGTTTTTATTTCAAATATTTATTCATTTTGAAAATTATTAATTGTTTTTTACTAATTCTAGCAATTTCTAGTGCATTCGGACCTTTATTTTCTATAATAAGGGTGTTTTCTGAATGTTAGGTGTACTGTACAAATTTTTTGGCAATTTTGATAGATTTTACAGATTTTTTCAGATATTTTTATCTGTAAATGATTCTATCAGTGCTTAGTTTACATAATTGAACTAAATTAATGAGCTTTTTTAAAAATATTTTCAAAAAAAAAATACAGTAAAGTAAAAAATCACACAATGTTTTAATTAAATGGCCACTTCAAAATCGATGTATTTTCATAAAAACCGTTATTTATGGAAAATTGCATGCAATAATTTTCTATTTTCGCACTAAATCTTTTAAGTGCAGTATATCGAAGTGTTCTGAATTAAAAAAATTTCAAAAATACTTCAAACGAATCGAGGGCTGATCAAAAAATGTTTACCACAGTAAATGTTTTAATTCTGTGACCACCACTGGTGTAAAACAAAAAACCAAAAGTTTGAAATAAAAAACTCTGATGACATGAATTAAGAATAGTGTTGTGTGAACGGGTTAATTTATGTACGTAATTTGGAGAGCGAACTACGCTGTTCGAATGTCCGTCAGAACATGGCATTATATAACTTTTTCAATACAACACTGATGGAACGTCCGATAATAATAATTTATTAATGCAAATAGCAGAAAAATCTATTAAATATATAATTTTTGTTAAACTAAAATGCGGCATGCCGACTATTGGAACATAAAATGCCGACAATTGGAAAAAAGTGCCGACTATTGGCACAAAGACACTATTTTACATAATTATTAATTTAATCTACTTTAATACAAATTAATTAAACAAATTTGTATTCCATCGGGGAGTAAACCAAATTTCGAAACAGGTGAATCTATATACAATATAGTGAAAAAATCCTCTCGGAATGGTGAAACGTTTAAAATACGGAAATCCTTAAAGTGCCGACTATTGGTGCAAACTGAGTTCGATATAGTAGTTTGCTATAACAGTAAAGATTTGTATGAAAAATATGTCTTAAAATTTCGGGACTGCACAACGATTACCTTACCTCAATCTCCCCTTAAATCTAGATATGTGGCTGTGACAGTTAGTAATTGCTAAGCGCTGTGATATAGTTAAGCGATCCATTTTTATCAATGTCAGACTTTCAACTGAGAAATCTCAAATTCCAGTCCCATAAATCTAAATCCACGAAATGGATAACCGTGTATGCAAAAATTGTTTCGCTCGATTGGAGTAATTTCAAAGAATGCTGTGAATATTCGTCCAATATAGAGTACACGCACCTAATTCCGGCATGTACCAATAGTCGGCATCGGTTTTATATAACTTCAAATAACTAAAAAATCATACAAAATTTTCAAAATTACCTTGAATAACCTTCAATAATACTGCAACCTATCTATGTATACAATTTAATCGAGCTAAGTACATTAATTCAGTCAAAATTTGGCATTTGTTCAATGAGGTCTGTCAACACTAGCGATAATTCATGTTTCTTATGAAAAAAATACTGGGCATATCGATTTCAAAAGACTTGTAACTATATTAAAATTATATATTTTTCACAAGGATCTTCTTCATAATGGTAAAAAACATAGAGAAGAATACTTAATAATTTAAAATCATTATATTTGTAACTGTATTTTTTTTTATCGATGTCGCCCTTAGGAACACAATTTTTTAAGGGTTTTCTATATAAAAAATCAGTTTTGAGTGGTTTTACATAATGGAAGACATGATTTTAATCTTAAATTCTTTTAACCTCTGAAATCCCTTATCTAGCCATGCCGAGAATTGGATAACGCGGCAAAGTTGGCACCATGTTTTAAAATTGTAATATTTTATCTCAAAATTATCTTAAATTAAATTACCTTTGTCAAATCAATTTAATGCAAAACAAGGTCCACTTTTTTGTTATATAATGTTCCTTTAAACACTTTAATGCGTGTGAATATCGCTCATTTGCTGCAAGACCGGCATAAATCAAAAAATTTGTTTTTTAGAAAATGGGTTTTAAGTTTTCAATTGACTCACACCTTCCAAGGAACTTTTACAGCTTCCCAATCAGAGTGTGAAAGAGATTTCCATTTGAATTTTTCACACAACATGATTTATAATATAGCGAACAATTCTGCATCACTAAATCAAAAATTTGCTGTAATCACAATTTTGCTGTAAGGCAACATGTTTGGGAGCGGATCACATATCGTTATGAAACACAACAAACAACAGCAGTTATTTTGTATTTTTTATGAGATATTCGTACAAAAAGATTTGTTTCTCACCAATCTAGAAAATGTAAACAGGACTGCGTCTGAAATAAAAATATTTTATAGAGTCAAAAAACTATCAAACGTTCAGTCGAAAACTCGTTCGCATAAGGACAAATGTGATCACGACTTATAACCTCAGTACAGTACAATAAGTGTGGATTACCGAATGCACGGTACTACTGAATTCTAATGCTCTTTGGCAGAGCTGTATGTAAAGGTTACTACTTGTTCAAAAAAAAAAATGTACATTAGATACCAAAGTACTCTTGTATGGGAGCTATATGTTTCAAATTTTCTGTTAAGTGGTATTTTATCCTCAAAGAACACGAAATGTTTAATTATAGTCAAACAAATCAACCTTTTGTATGTGCTTATAAGAAAATATACATTAAAAATCCAACTACGGAGTTGTTTTCTTCCTATTTTCCTCGTTCAATTCTACCATGATTATAGCCTTAATCTTCTTAAACATTTCGTCGTACTGATTCTGAAGTGGTTATACTGATATTAATCTTGCTTACATTCCTTTTGTCAAACTGTGAAACAACACTATATAGTAAAGGTAATTTTTTAATATAACGAGTACATTGTTTATGTAAAAATTACTGTTTACATTAAAAAAAAATTCATTTGCTTTCCCCACATGTTTAGATTATAACAACCTTGTGTTTTGCTACAAACATGGAATTTGCGGATGTACACAACAGACATAATTATTTTTATTTGTTGGCCAGCACGTTTTTCACAAATACTATACAGATAATTTTTTTTTTTTTTTTTGGTTTGTGGTAACTTGACAGCTTTGATAAATTTCCTTCCTTTACCATATATAAATGCTTTGCAACATTTTGCAGGTTATTAGTCAAATTGAGGAATGTGGGAAATATTTTTGCAAATCCGATTAAAAAGTTTACGATCAGGATCTGTTTCCCGCTAATAAATGTTACGTACGTGTATAACATAATATTTCCGTTCCAGAACCTAAAAGATTCTACTAATTTTACAAGTTTTCCAACTTTTAACTCGAAACCCGTTCGAGAACCCACAAAACTAGTAAGATGTTCAACCAAATTGAAGAGAACAGAAAACAATATGGCTTTCTCTTTCTAAACTTTTTACTCGAGAAATTTGGCCGAGTAAAAATGCCTACTTCTGATTGTTCTGTTGATTTTGAAGTACTGCCATATAATTTGGGCATTTTTACTAGTTTTCCGTTCCAGAACATTTCGTATGAGTTTGTACTCTAAGAGCGATTTTGATATTTTTCCCTTTTACTTGTTTTATTATGAAAAAAGTACTGGAACAGAACAAATGAAATATATTTATGGTAAATATTTCTGACGAATCCGACAAATGTTCATAATGAACTTTACTGTTGCAGGTTCCGCTAAGGGTTGTTAATTTATTTTCTTTAAGAAAATCTGCTAGGAATTGTCCAATTGTTATTCCCAGACTTGCACTACCTCATGATATTTAAATATCTATTATTTTTGTATCCATTTTTAATATTTTTCTCATAGCTGAGTATGCATTAATATTATTTTTATTAATTATCACTAAAAATATATTTCCTTTTTTATTTTTCAGAGTTATACAATGTTATATATTTTGTTATTATATATATTTTTTAACTTAAAAAATCTTAATCTTTTTATGTAAATATTTTTTATTTTTTAAAAATTGTTCAAATTTTGTTATTCTATTTTTTTTTTTTTTTTTTTTTTTTTTTTTTATTATTTTGGTTGGCCCACTTTCTATAGGGATAGAAGGTTTAGTGCCATGTATCCGTATGTAGCTTTGCTACGAATTTGACTTTATCCATAGATGGTGGTTTGTGTTTTGCAGGTTGACTATCTTCTTTAAGAATTTGACCACAATGTTCAGACTTTCTAAGCCTTGTGTATCAGTGAACTCTTCTACTGTGAAGGAGTCACATAGTAGCGAAAAGCATCTTCTTTTGCTATTAAATTTACGAAAATTAAAAATTTCATGCGCAGCTGTTTGGATTTTGTTGAACGACTCGTAATTTATAGGTTATCCGTATTTAAAAACACACGTGTTAGTTAAGCGAACGCTTAACAACCGCCATTTTGTAAAAATCTATTTTTAAGCCCGTGGGCGTGTAGTACTCATTTAAAATTTTTTTTACGTCTTTCTTGTGAGCCGTCCGAGGACGAACTGGTTATTCTATTTTTAAGATTTAGTATAAGTACGGCTATATCAGCTTGGTTACCAAAATCTATACTAATAAAAGAGTAAAATGATTGACTGACTGACTTAACGATTCATCAACGCCCAAAGAAACGGCTGAAGCTGGAATCTTGAAATTTTGAGTGAGGGTCACTCTTGGTCCAAATGTGACAGATAAGGCTGTGTTTTTTAAATTCGTACTCGAACGGTACAAGGAGTACCAAAAAGTACTAAATGTGATACCGGTGCAGCTAGAACTTTGGGTTTGGTAGTCGTTGTTGGAGTGTAGGATAGATGTACCAAAGGGTTTTTGGAAACTCGAGCTATAACTATCCGAAAAGTACGAAAATGTACTAAATTTGGTACAGTTATGTAGCATGTAAACGGATTGCGTTAAAAAATTGAAATTTGGAGTGTGAATTAAGGTTGAGAAGTCCATTTAAGGAGATGGTTTTGAATGCGTGTTCTCATGTGTACGAAAAGTACTATTTGGTACTATATTTGGTACAAATTTAATTTGGAGATACAAATCGAGCTGGAATCTTGGAATTTGAAATTAAAATTACCGTCGGAGTGTAGGATTGGGATATGAACGTAATTTTGGAAATTTGTTACTTATATGTACGAAAAGTACTAAATCGTACTATAATCGGTACAATTTGGATTTAGGTGATCCTATAGAGCGGGAACAATGAAATTTGGAGTCAGGATCACTGTAGGGGTGTGGGATTGGGGTCAGGATTCAGTTTAAGAAAATAATACTTATGGGTACTAAATGGTACTAAATTTGGTACAATTTGAATTTTAGGTGAACCAATAGAGTTACAATCATGTGTATGTAGGAAGATGTGGAAATTGGTACTACTATGTACTAAATTTAGTACAATTTGAATTGTGGGTGATCCTAAAACTTGAATTTAGTATCAGTGTGGGGGTGTAGGTTTGTGGTAAGAAGGATGTTTTAGAAATTCGTAGTACTGTGTACTAAATTTGGTACAATTTAAATTGTGGGTGAACCGATAGAGTTGAAATCCTGAAACTTGGATTTAGGATCAGTGTGGGAGGCAGAATTGGGGTATGTAGAATGTTTTGGAAATTTGTACTAATGTGTACCAAATTTGGTACAATTTGAATTGTGGGTGAACCGGTAGAGTTTGAATCCTGAAACTTAGATTTAGGATCACTGTGGGGGTGTTGGTATGGTTTAAGGAGGAAATTTTGGAAATTCGTAGTACTTTGTACTAAATTTGGTATAATTGGGATTGTGGGTCAATCGATAAAGTTGGAATCCTGAAACTTCGATTTAGGATCACTGTGGGGGTGTAGGATTGGGGTATGTAGGAAAATTTGGAAATTGGTACAACTATGTACTAAATTTGGTACAATTTGAATTGTGAGTGAACCAATAGAGTTGGTATCCTAAAACTTATATTTAGGTTCACTGTGGTGGTGTAGGTTTGGGGTAAGTAAGAGGTTTTGGAAATTCATGCTACTGTGTACTAAATTTAGTACAATTTGAGTAGTGGGTGAACCGATAGAGTTTGAATCCTGATAGTTAGATTTAGGATCACTGTGGAGGTGTTTGTTTGGGTTAAGTAGGAAATTTTGGAAATTTGGTACAATTTGAATTGTGGGTCAACCAATAAAGTTAGAATCCGATAAAGTTAGGATCACTGTGGAGGTGTAGAATTGGGATATGTGGAAGTTTTTGAAATTCGTACTACGGTGTACAAAATTTGGTATAATTTGAATTGTGGGTGGACCGATAGAATTGGAATCCTGAAACTTATATTTTGGATCACTGTGGTGGTGTAGGTTTGGGGTAACTAAGAGGTTTTGGAACTTCATACTACTGTGTATTAAATTTGGTACAATTTGAATTGTGGGTGAACCTATGGAGTTGAAATCCTGAAACTTGGATTTAGAATCACAGTCGGGGTGTAGGTTTGGGTTAAGTTGGAAGTTTTGAAAATTCTACTACTAAATTCGGTTAAATTTTTATTGTGAGTGAATTAATGGAGTTGGAATCCTGATCGGGGTATGCAGGATGTTTAGTTAGGTTATTGAGGAGGGTACTTATGGAAATAATGTGTGCTAAATGGAAAATTTGTAAAATTTGGATTTGGGTGAACCTTTAGAGCTAGTATCATGAAATTTGGTACTAAATGTTACCCAAATTTAATTTATTGTCGATATTAATGTGTGGATTGTTCTTTCTGACATATGCAGTTTTCTCTGAAAATAAAAAAAAATAAAATTGGAAAAGGACGCTGAAAACCTGTGAAAATCGATTTCTTTATGGCGAGCTGATTTCTTGTAAATTGATTATAAATTTCATTCTTATCTTTCGGCAATATATTTTCGTGAATTCTATATTCGAATGTTACCGAGTTTTTTACTAAATTTATCTATCATACATAATTATTACAATTTAGAAGAAAATTTAAACATGTATATGTTTGCACGAAACAATTTTATAATTTATAATTATTATTTATATTTTATTATAATAATTTAGAAACACATGTAAACATTTGTATGTTTGCACGAAACTATTTTCAATTTATACCTGAATTGTTACCTAACTTTACACAATTTTCAGCAAAGTGTAGAACATTTAGATATTTTTTCTCGTTTTAGTTGGAATCATGTCTTCCCCGTCCGGAAATATTAACGGGATATTCATCGCTTTTGGACGGTCAAATCATTCACAATGTCTGGTTACAGATTGATCCGGAACCCCAACATATTCCCGCAAATATTAATGAATTGGAGGGTATCGCACTTTGCAATGGTCGTGTTAAAAACTTTGAGTGTATTGTGCGCAATCTCAAATCATTGTTCGAGGAAGAATTAGGACAAACCATTTTGGCACTACCTGATTGTTATGTTCTGGGTCATAGTCCAGAAACGAAACAAGGTTTGGAGCAAATGAAAATTTTGCTAACACTGCTTTTAGGGGCTGCAGTTCAGTGCCCAAACAAGGAACTGTTTATTGCTCGCATCAAGGAACTAGACTTGGAAACACAACATGCTATCGTTGAATTAATAAAGCAGGTGATAAATTTTATTCATTGTATATAACTAGACAAATATTTGTACTTAATGAGCATCTAATAAACGGCAGGTTACCGATAATCATAGCTTGGTGTTGACAGAAGAATCGCTGGGGCTGTTAACGCCACAGGATATGTATGATCACATTCTACGTTTAACAAAGGAGCGTGACAATATGTATTTGAAGTGGGTATCGTCCGTGTGTGCCGAACGTAATGTCAATGCGTCGGATTGCGAAGATAATGCATTAAATATGACAATGTCGTCGTCTAGTGGCAAAACGTCAACACCCATATCTTCTGCATCTAATGCGGACAACAATCACATGGCAGTGGAATTGGCAGATCTCAAATCGAAAATGAGGAAATTACGTCAAGAATTGTATGTACCAATTAAATATAAGTTGCCTACAGGGTCCCACGCTACTTAATTATTTAAAATATTCAATTTGTAATAGGGAAGAAAAATCCGAAAGTCTATTGGAATTGCGAGAAGAGTTGGAACATAAAAATAGCCAATATGAAAAGCTGCGCCACGAAGTAAGTATTTCTAATTGTACAATTTCTGGACCCGATGTTGATGTATTCCATTTAAGAGTCAAGAATGGTATAATGAAGCCAAAAGGTCGGCCGCTTATAGAGACGAAGTTGATGTTTTGAGAGAACGAACTGAGAGAGCTGATCGTCTAGAAGTCGAACTTCAAAAATTCAAGGAGAAATTAACAGATTCGGAATTTTATAAGACTCGCGTTGAGGAATTGCGCGAAGACAATCGCATGCTACTCGAAACTAAGTAATTGGCCAAATAAAACTACATATATAAAAATACAGTTACTTATTATACTTTATTCACTAGGGAAATGCTGGAAGAACAATTGCAGAGGTGGCGAAAACGGTCTGAACACGTAATGACTTTGGAATCAGAGATAATCAAATATAAACAAAAACTGAACGATATGGCTCTAGAACGAGATTCGGACCGTTCCAAACTGGAGGAGTTAATTGAGGAGAACACACAACTGCAGTTAGTGGCCAAAAATCTGAATACCACCTTGGATATTGACAAATCATTTTCCGACAACGATGAGGAGTGTAATTCGGGAGACAACAGCTTATCTGAGCAACTGACTAACAACGCTCAAGTAAATATCTTCTAGTCACATACTCGTTAATCGTAAATCGTAAACGTTTCACAATTTTATTTTCAGACACGTGCTATCAAACTTGAATTAGAAAATAGACGTTTGGTCGCTGCTTTAGATCAGCTGAAAGAATCCTCATTCCATGAATCGACAAACAAATTACTGGAATTGGAAAAGGAGAAGAAAAAACTTACCATAAAAGTAGAACAGATGCAGGAAAATATCCAGAGGCTTTCCCAGCAGAACAATGAACTGGAAAATGTGTTTAAAAATGCCTTGGAGGAAAACAAAAAAATGCAAATTACGTTGGATCAGAGGCAAAAGGCTTACGAGAAGCAAAGCCAAGAGCGGGAAGTGGAACGCAGTAAGATAATCGATTTGGAGAAACATGTCGAGACCTTGAACAAAGAAAAACAACGCATTCAAACTCTGAACGAAAGCATTCAACGTCGTGCCGACGACTTGGAACGAATGGTTGATTCGCGCACGAAAGAAATCGAACAGTATTCTGAGAAGTTGGAAGCATTTGAAAAAACTAAAGAAAATCTCTATGAACTTCAAGCCAAATTAAGTACATACGAACGCGAGAACGCCAGTCTATCCAAGGAAGTGTCCAAGTTGAAAGAAAACCTTGAAGAGAAATCGGTTAAACTGGATCAATCGGTCGAATTGTTAGAGACCCAATCAAAAGAACTGACAAGATTGTCGAAAGCATTAGAAGAGGCCGAATTAATAAAATCTCGTTTCAACGAAATGGAAGCCCAAAATCAGGATTTGATGTCCCAGCATGAGATCGACCTACAAACAATTGAAACTTTAAGACAGGATCTGGTCACAGGAACTTTGGCGACAAACAAAGTCAGGCATAACTTGGAAAAACTAGGATTGAATGTTGACCCTACAGATGACAAAGCTGAAATAAATGTTGAGACAGTGGTGGAGAAACTTGTCCGCAATCCGGAGACATTCAAGACCGTGCGCGAAATAATGCTTAGTGTTTCAAAAGAGCAATCTTCAAAATCAGACATTTGTGTCCTATGTCATCGAAAGGAAGTCTTCACTGTCGAGAGAAATATCGAGTTGTCATCAGTGCCAGACGCCAAAGAAATAGCCGAAGTTGCAAAACTGTCCGAAGCGAACACACAGCTAAGTGCACTTAATGTGGCCCTTCAATCAACTAATGACCAATTACAGGCAGAAAATGCCCGCTTCAAGGTTGATGTGGCCACACTGGGTTCCCAAATCACTTCGTTGAATACCCAGCATGTTGCCTTGCAATTGGCAAACTCCCAGCTGGCTGCCGACAAAGACGTCTTGCTAAAAGAAAACGAAGCTCTGAAGCAGGAACATAAGAATCTTATACACGATCAGGTGACACTGCAATGCTTGCACGATCAACTATCGGCCGAATATGAATCGCTAAACAAGGGCAAGGAGCATCTTAAGGTGGTTGTCCGTGACTTAAGAAACGAAACAAGGGATTTACGTGAGCAAATCGTAAGTCTGGAGACACAAATCGATGATCTTAAGCAACAAAACCAATCGATGAAATCATGCGCCGAAGATCTTGCCATCCTACGCACCGAACATTCAAAACTTACGGACGATTTCCGTAATTTGTTTGCCACCAGCGATCGGTTTAAGAACGAGTACAAAAACATTCAAGAACAATACAAGATGATCCGAATGGAAAATAGTAAATTGAAGCTGCAAAACAATGAACTTACCACCGAACTGGGAAGTAAGAATGATCAAATGAAAATTTTGGAAATACAATATGCCAAATCTGCTCAACGTTGTGAGGTAATTATTTAAAAAATATTAATCAAAAACTTATTGTTGCACAAATTTATATTATTATATTATTTTATTTTTTTTTTTTTGTAACATAGAGCAGTTTCGGAAAAACTAGAAAATTTTTTTGAACTAAATTCCAAGAAAAGTCATATTTTAGCCCCATTTTTGCAATTTTCAATAAATATTTTAAAGGAAAAAATCGAAACATATTTATGAAAAGTAACGGTAAACTTAACATTTTGATAAGTAATTCGTAAAGTTTTTTGAAACATAATTTCATTTTTAATGTGGTAAACTTTTGACTGATCTCAAATTTGTTTAACTAACGCACTAGCAGACCAAATTTAATTTTCCTATTCCAACTGCTATTAGTGGGAATAGAAAATTCACCCAATACGGGAGATTGGCGCTGCCACATCACATGGAAACAATACATGTGTACGATTTCCCTACACCAAAAAGCTGCCTGAAAGTTTGGTTCACTAAAATACACTGGACTTGTTAGAAGGTCGTCTCAGATTTTCTATTTATTCCAATAATTTCCAAGGAAATATCCTTTGCCAATTATATTATTCAGCAACTATAATGAAGTTTAATTTAATTCCAGCATTTTGTCAATAAGCCGTGAATGAAATTCATATTCATGTCACTTATTGTATCGATGTTATGTGTTGATTATTATGATTTTTTCAGATGTTGGTGACTCAAAATGTCGATTTGGATGCTGAACGTAAAACTCTAATGGAAAATGTTTCGCATTTACTTAAACAATATCATGAGCTCTTGAACTTAAGTCTAGAAGACAAAAAACATTTCCACGAAGAAGAAAAAAGCTATACGGAATGTGTGCATAATCTAAATCGTCAAAAAGAAAAATTAGAGGAAAAAATTATGGAACTTTTTAAAAAATCGGAGGCTGTTGCTCCAAAGAAGTAAGTCATCTGACAATTTGTTCTATTGTGTGTGTGTGTTTTTTTAAGAATCTGGCTGCAGTAATATGAAAACACGTTGTTTATTTACAGAAAACCATTTGGCAGTAATTTGGTTAGGAGAGTTAAAAAGGCCAGTTCAGATTTAATGAATAAAGTTCCGAGTAGAGTGAGTGTTTTGAGTATATTTGGTTTCTATTGCATTGATATATTTATGAGCATTTTTATTATACCCTTCACCACACTGTGGTACAGGGTATTATGTCTTTGTGCATATGTTTGTAACAGGAAAAAATAATCGAGATAGACCCATGGTTCCTTTTTAGAATATGCATAGAATCACTTTCTGAGTCGATTTATGCATGTCCGTCCGTCCGTCTGTCCATGTTAAATTGTAAACAAAGTACAGGTCCCATTTATAATCCGAATTGGATGAAATTTGGCACAGCTCACTTATTCGGCCCAAGGACGAGCCCTATTGAAATTGGGAAAAATCGGTTCAGATTTAGATATAGCTCCCATATATATTTTCGTCAGATTTAAGGTAAATGGTGTACCAAAGTCCCTATATATCTTTCGATTTGCACGAAATTTGGCATAGCGTACTCAATTAAGTCTACTGTGATGTGTGCAAAGTTTCGTGAAAATCGGGTCAGATTTAGATATAGCTCCCATATATATCTTCGTCCGATTTAAGGTAAATGGTGTACCAAAGTCCCTATAAATCTTTCGTTTTCCACGAAATTTCGCATAGCGTACTGAATTAAGTCTAGATGTTTCGCGAAAATCGGTTCCGATTTAGATATAGCTCCCATATATAGTTACGTCCGATTTTAGGTCAATAGTCCACTAAAGTCCCTATAAATCTTTCGATTTGCACGAAATTTGGCATAGCGTACTGAATTAAGTCTAGAATGATGTGTGCAAGGTTTCGTGAAAATCGGCTCAGATTTCGATGTAGCTCCCATATATAGTTACGTCCGATTTTAGGTAAATAGTCCACTAAAGTCCCTGAAAATCTTTTCATTTGCACGAATTTTGGCATAGCGTACTGAATTAAGTCTAGAATAATGTGTGCAAAGTTTCGTGAAAATCGGTTCAGATTTAGATATAGCTCCCATATATAGTTTCGCCTGATTTTAGGTAAATAGTGCACCAAAGTCCCTGGAAATCTTTTCATTTGCACGAATTTTGGCATAGCGTACTGAATTAACTTTAGAATGATGTTGCTAAGCTTCGTGAAAATGCCGTAGCTAGGCCAATTGACACAACGTACTGAAGTAATATACATAAGTCTCTGGCAAATTTGCCTAAAATCGGTTTAGATATAGATATATAACAAACACGCGACGTCTGTTAGGATACATATGTAGAATATACCCAAAGTGGTGAAGGGTATTATATAGTCGGCCCAGTTCGACTTTACTACTTTCCTTACTGATTTTTTCTTGTTTTAATAGAATCGCCGTTCTTGGATTGATGATTCTCGCTTAACACAATCCCAATTTATGATTGGATCTGAATCGGGTGGCAATGATTCTGACAATAGCGCTGAAGAGCCCATCTCCATCAATTCCGATACTCACCTATTTCAACGAAATATACCAATCCGTCAAAGCTTGCAGCGGTATGATTTATATTAATCTGCGTTACAATTTAATTATAATATAAAACATTTATTCAATGTAGTGACATGTTGGACAATTCCATTTCTCGTGGTGGCACGATGAGAAGTAGCTTGCAAACACAAAAACGTACGGATTTGAATAATTCTCGTAGGAATAGTGTGCACGGGTAATGTGTCTTTTGATGTTTATTAATATTAATTTAAGTCTAGCCATATCGATTTATTTTTTTTTTAACAATGAGATTGGATATAGCCTAATAATGACTTTAGCATGGAACAATAAAGTCATTATTTTGAACAGGTTATCTATTATTTAAAGACTAGAAATTGGTTGATTAAAAAAAAACACTTTCCCTCATCACAAATCTTAATGAATTTCAATATTTTTTAATCATTATTCATTTAGTAAAATTATTTTTAAAATCTGGAAATGTTTAATGTGATTAGGTAAATATATATATTGTTGTCTCTTATTACGCTATTGCGAAATTAACATTCCCATGTTGCCTCTGGGAGAAGCTAAACTAACGAGGAAACGCTACTTTTAACCCAAAGATAAATCTATGTTTGGTTATTATATTTTTATTAATACATATGTTAAAGCTGCTTATTGTCTTATAAATGACAATTATTGCTAGCAGAGACATAGAATGGACGCTTTCAACTAAAATATATTATTTTACTCTATGTGTAAAGTGTTCTGTTTTACAAATGCACATAAAAACAATTAATGCCGTCGCGTGGGTGTTTTTTTTTTTAATTTACATAGTATCTAATATTTTTCTTGTATTTGGCCTTTATTATGATTTCCAATTATATTCACGTGATAGTCGTTGCTTAACCCTCTGCCGTCCAATGATTATAGACTTGCGAGAGGTTTCTGTAGAACCCAACCGATACTCCAAATTTGTATAATTTGTGCACTTTATATCGAAGATCAATAAAGTAATATTTAAGAAATAAATACATCCACATAGTACGCTAGTAAAAGACGGGTTAAAATTGTCTAACGTAATATTGTTAAAATAGACACCGAAATATTGCCAAAAAAACAACCACAAATATTTTCAAATAATTAACGATAGACGAATGCATTTGTTTTTACGCTTGAGCGCTCATTGTGAATAGTTTTTTAATAGCTTCTGTGCTCGTAACTAATAATTAACACAAAATGTTTATGAATTATTAATTTTTTTTTCTTGTTGTCATTCGTTTTGTTTCAACGACAGTTTGGAGGCGCCTGATGTAACAGGAAGCAGTTTAACACTAGGCACGGCTGGTTCTAGGCGGACCGTGTATCTGATCGATGAGAATCAAAAAATTCCCGAAAATAATCAATCAACGTCGCCAACACTGCATGGGCCAGGTGCTTGCAGCAGCAACAGCAGTTCCACAGCAACGTTAAGTGCTACACCAAACAACAATGCTGAACCACAGACACCAAGTGGAACTAACAAAATGGAAAATCCAACAACATTTCTAATGTACAATCGTATTAATAACATTGTCGGTGGAAATTCTTTAAATGTAAGCAGCAATAGTGATACACCCTCTGGAAGTCATGCGAATAACCGTGATATAGATGCACAACACGATCAGGACAACAAAATGGCACGGAAACGGACAGAAGACAAAAATAATAGTATTTGGTATGAATACGGTTGCGTATAATAAGCTCAATACAATGAGAGCAAAGCGAACAAAGCAAACTACTTGCCAAGAGAACAATAATGTTACGCACAATTATGCACTATTTCAATGAGAATAATGTGCGAATATCTACTTCATCAGCCTTATTGAAATTTCCTAATATTTTAGTATATTGATCTGCCATGAAATATTCTGGACCAATCTAAAACTCCTATAAACGAAAATATGTCTAAACGATCAGTTGTAATAAGTCTGATTATTTTTTGTTCTCAGAAATATGAATTTACTTAAAATGACCATAACAATTTTGCATACAATACAAAGGATAAGCATTTACAAACACCCAGTATTAGAATACATACAATCATTTCGCAAACAACAATAGACATTGAAGACATACGACGGTACTATGTGCTTCATTTAAAAATATCCCTTGCCCCTCCATCCACATGCAATAAATATTCTCATTATTAGATTAAGAATTGAATTGATTAAGCATTAGATAACATATACTCATATATTAGAAGTTACTCTCGCCTTAAAAAGTGCTTTTGATACAGAAATCCATCCACAATAGTTGCTCGAATAACTACAATGTGTACATGTACATGATCGCCTTACGTTTTTAAATTGTTAATATAAAAAAACACATTCTGGCCGCATTTATTAGAATGGTTAGACCTCGTAAAGAATACGCATTGTAAAGTGTCTTATTTTACCATTTATTGTATAAAACCGTTATATATTTCATCGTAAGCAACGAAAAAACTTCGAATATAAGTATTAATTTAAATGCAATTTTATCCTCAAATATATTCCAAACAAATTATTAATTTATTACATTTTCAAAACAAACAAAAGTAAAAAAATCCAATGCGATAAAATGAACGCACGAACTTGTTTGTTACTAATACTGCCGACAACAGAATTTTTTTGTAATTTTGAAAACAAAAATTTTAAAATCTCCAATGTATACATGACAATAAATTTAAACTACTATCACTGTACTTCATTAAAAAATAACTTGTACTTTTTCTATAACTGTATTATTAACAAATAATAAAAATAAAACACAGTTGCTGTGTGGTGTACATTTCTAAATTACCATTTTTTTATTTCTAAAAAATACTAGTGTTCTCACTTATAAAATACAATGTGATGTTTGGGGGTACAACAAGAATAATTAGAATTTATGACCGAATTTGTTTAAACTTTCCCAAACAAATAAAATGATGGAATGTACCAAGCATACAAATAAAACTGAACATGTGAGAGGTGTATAGACGAAATGTTTTAAAAATCAATCATTCCAATATGTAATACATAAGGAACATATAGGCTGGCTGTTGTGTGGTGTCTATCACTTGTCTATAGTGTCTTTGGTTTAATATAAAATATTTTAAACAATAGAGAATTCAATATACATATGTATTACACATCCTAACAGAGGGTGGTGATTTTGTCGGATTCAGATGCACACATAAACAAACATACCAAAAACCTTGCCAATGCACACCCACCCTCTACATACAACTAGAAGAAATCTATCATAACATTTGTTTATCCTCCAATAGTTTTCCTTGGGTGTTTTTGTTTTATTAATTGCTCTATTTGTGTGCCCAGTCAGTCGTGTGTCTGTGTGGAAATATATTTTTATTGAAGTATACATAGACAGAACGTAAATCAAATTTAAACTCATGATGCAGCACAGAGAAGCAAACAAATAAACATACATATAAACATAGTACACTGCTAAGAGAAAGAGAACAAATGCCAGAATAATATCTTTTCCATATTCAAGAAATTTCATATGCGTTCTCTATATAACTCGAGACATATGATGATGCTGCTACTAAACGGTATTAATACATATATCATACAATATTGTTTGTTTGTTTTCGTTTTTATGTTTCATTGATGCGACTGCTAAATACTGTGATGAGATATATGTATGTATTTTTGTATGAGAGAACCGCAAGTGTTATTTTTGTGCTTGGAAAACATAATCTTCAATAAAAGATGTCATTGTCATCATCATCATCGTCGTCGTATTCTTAGTCTTAGCATTAGTGGCACTGTTATAATTTTGTCATGTTCGCTAATCTTGACCATCAGAGACATCAATATCTTCAGAGTCGAGCAGTCCATCGCTTTGTATACAACATGCTTGTATGTATGAACGCACGTCACATGGAAAGGAACATTTAAACAGATTATACACGCAAATGGAAATTGTGTCCATTCACTACACTTGACTTCCCCGGCTGACTGTACGCTGGCAATGGTGAATAGACAAACTGTATGGGAGAAAAGAAAAAACAAACAATAACAATATGAACGATGTAGACGGTATATAGAACGGTTGACACAAACTTTTGGCGTTTTTTGTTGTGTTGACATATAGCCGACACAGAATGACTTGGTTGTATGGCTCCAAAGCACCTCTCCGCAGTTATTTTTTGGATAATATAGTAGTGACAGAGCTCCGCCATAAAGACACTGGTCTGCCGGAAGAAACGGAGATTCAAGGAACTTGGTTTTAAATGTTTTGTGCAGAGAAGTAACGGCGCAGTCGGAGGTAAATAGGTCTGTGCATATTTCTTTTGCTAGAAACGTCTTCATTAGGTATTCCCCATTGCCCGTAGTACAAGTCGCAACGGATAGGTCATCGGTGTCCGTGGCCCAGCAGCCAGCACCATAAGATGCAGCCTGTCCAACACGCCCGGGAACTTTCAATATCAAACCACCGGAACTGCATCCAGCTGCTGAGTTGCCAGTACTATCAACACATACAGCTCCAACAGTATCCAGAGGACTTACTTCGGAGGCTTCCACTGTTTCCGACTGTTCGGTGTTATTCTCTAGTTTGGTGCTTGTGACTTTTGCTCCGTCACCCACCTTCGATTTGTAATGGTTGTATGTAAACTTAGCCTTGGACGATATCATTGCATTTGCGTCAATCATAGTACATCCCGTTTCTTCAGCAAAATGTTCAGCGCCAGTTCCGGCCATGACCATTGGGGGTATGCGTTCCATTGACAGCATTCTCTCCTGTCTCTCACACAATACTCTTGCCAACTGTATGGGGTTTTTGACTGTCGATACATTTGTGCAAGCACCAAAATGCAAATTTGAGCCATTCATAATGGAAGCATCGCACTGGACGTATCCGTCCCAACATAAATTGGATCCGAAGCCAGCATTTGTGTTACCGCAATTCTCAAGACGGATAATGGCAGCTTCGCAAGCATCCATTGCAGAACCCCCATTTTTTAAAATGTCCGTTGCCACTATACAGGCTTCCTTAATCACTCGTTGATACTTGGTCTCATCGACGATATTGCCCGCACCTACAAACCGAAACAAACACATATACATACACAATGAACGGACCAATTACAATACATCCTAATTTCAAAAACCTCTTAATTATGATTTTCGCTCCAAGCTAAGTTAATATTCACCTGTATGAACTGCTATAAATCCGGACATTTTGCATATTTATTTCACTTAATTAATAACCAATATGATATCGGCGGAATGATGTCTTCCCTTTACCGAATGAAGACATTAACTAAAACATTTCTTTCATACGAAGGCGACCTAATTTAAAGGCGTCTTCATGCAACGAACAGAGGGAGAAACGGGAGAACGTGCGATAAAGAACGAACTCGAAGCAAAAGGGCGATGATGATATTGTTTACGAACGAGTGTAATGCACAACGCAAATATCAATACCTTTGTTTAGAAAGATAGACAAAAGAATGGTTGATGTTCAAAGAAAACTGAACGTGAACTAGTGTTTTAGTGCGAAGTGTAGAATAGAGATAAAACGATTGAAACTAGATAATCACGTTCCACTATTCTTCGTTCTGTATCACTCGTTCAGCAGATCTTGTCACATTAGGTGTGTTCGGTTACTTTTCCAGTAACATTTATTCAGTAAGTTCTAGTTCAGAGAGTAAGCCATTTTTCTCTCTTTTGTAAACAGACAACATTTAGTAAGATTTAGCAAACAAACAGCTGATTCAAGAAAAAATTTGATTTGCGCCAAAATAAGCAAACAAACAAAGGACAAACACAATTGTTTGTATTGCAATTAATATTAAAAATAAAATGAACAATAAAAGAAAAATTGATTTGGTAAGTTCCCCGGGAACATTTAGGCTCCCTGCATCAATATATTCCCCTTTATCTGGAACATGCCTTTGCAAATTAAAAAAATGTTTTGAATAATTTTTGTGTTTGGTCATAAAACAGCTGATCCAAAAATGCTGACTTTGCAAAATCTTACTGCATAAAATTTCAGTAAACTCCAGTAAGTTTGTTGTTGTTGAACTGTCAAACTTGCTCTTTCACTTGACTCTCTTTTACTGGATTTTTGTGTAAACAGACAACATTTAGTAACATTTGTTACCAAATATGGCGTTAGCCTTACCGTGATTATGTGCATTATCTCGATTTTTAATTCAAAATTAAATCCACTCAATATCTCGATTTGCTCGAAATCATATACTAAATCGAGATAATTTCAAATACAGCCCTGACTTTGCACCAAAAAATCTCTTCTCCTAAAATTATGCTTCAAAATACGTTAAAACTCAATATAATAGCGCATGGTATAATAATAGAAGGTAACAACAAGTTTTGTTGTACAAAAAATGATACAACAACCACATGGAAATTTGTTGTTGTAAGTTCTAGTAGTGTCAATTCATTTGACAGAAAAATGTAAACAAACAAACAAATTATAATCAAATTATTTTTATTTTGAAAATGAAATATTTTCGAATCCTCAAAATAAAAATTGAAAAACATGAATGAAAATCTATCAAATTTATATTGCTATCGCTTCCACATCTGTCCTTTAATTGAGCCATTGCCATATATATGTGTAACACATATGACAATGCTGGGAATAGCGAGTAATTCCTTCAAGAAAGATTTGCTTCCTCAAACTTTCCCAGCAGGCAGATTGAGTAAATTGAATACGGGAGCACATTTAATAAAGAACAATTTCAAATTGTATCCGTTCCCAATTTTCCTGTTGGGTGATTTTTAAAAACATAATTTGTCAAATTCATATTGACACTAGTATTACGTTGGAATCAAATCAGCTGGGATTTGCTGTTACCTTTTATAATTGTACCATGATAATAGCATATCAAAAAATATTGCTGATATTGGCTTTGTATCAAGGTATTGTTACGTTCTTGGACTTCACTTATTCCCGTGTAGACGTTGTTTTATTTCCCGATACAGTTCGTACCAAATAAAACGCGGGTTCGTTCAGATTACGATTATTACAATGACTTTATTCACACAACTTTACTTTGCACTTTACTTTACACGACGGTTTCAATTCGCGATCTGATTCACAACTGACTCACTGCCTTTCCATTCCCTCTATTTATATGAGCCCTGCCTGTCGCTACAGAAGTTTCTAGACGATCTGGTAACACCTAGATCACGAACAATCTACCAATGCAACAAACACATTGAGTAACAATAACAACAACAAACTTACTGAGTGAACAATAACAACAAACTTGAGTAAACAAACTTACAATAACAACAACACATATACAGGCGAGGGAATAACAAAGAAAGAGGAATAACAACAACACATATACAGGCGAGGGAATAACAAAGAAAGAGGAATAACGTTTAACAAGAATTGTACGACAATAACAAAATAGAAAATGAAAGAGGAAATGGAAGGATGTAGAAAAATCTATACAGTGGTTGTTGTTGTGAAGTTATTCAAATAAACTGCATAGTAGAAATTTACGTTACAATTCAAATTCTTAAATTAACGGAATTCATCTAAATTAACTTAAATCTAAAGTTATATTCGTAACAGTATATTTAATAAGGTAGCCGCATTGGCAAATAAATGTCAAAAATGTTGTTGTGATGTAGAACCAAAAAATAAAAAACAAAATTATGAATGAAAATCTCCGAATTTTGAAGATCTTTTTTGGCAATACTTTTTTTAACATTTTCTACAATAATTTGTGTAAAAAAATCTTATGATTCTTTTTGTTTTGGCAAAATATTTTTGACATATCAAATTACAACAACCGATGTTTGTTGTAGATATTCGGCGATGCGGCTACCTTATATATCTACCTTGCTTTTTATGAAATCAAACTTTAATTTGGACGCCGTTATCCTTTATTATTTCACAAAAAGTAAGCCAAACATGCCAAGCCTGAAGTCCTCTTATGTGTTCTCCCCTTAACGAATATGTAATTTAGGACCAAGGGAGAGCAATTCCTACACAAATTATGAAAATACTGATTGAATATTTTTTGCCACCAGAATCTCGATTTACAAATAAAGTCGATTTAGAAGAAGAAAGGGTATTTTCCCTTCGTCAACAAAGGGAAAATACACCTCTACCTCGAATTAGATTGGGTTTCTGTAATAAATAACATATCTGTAGGCCTATTCTGTAACTTTTAACAACATTATACATTTTTTGTATTGTTTTGAGTACTCTCAAGCAGGCTTGTTCATTCAAATAAAAATACATATTCATGGGATAATTGAAGAAGGTAGTCTCATTTGTGAATTTTATGTTGACAACCCTTTTTAATTTGTACTCATCCATGGCACAATGAATAGGTAGTCCATTTAGCGCAGCTGGTGTCTTGATTAACTGTCAAATTGGATAATTTCTACCATGGTATAATAATAAAAGGTAACAGCAAGTGTTGTTGTACAAAAAACGATACAACAACCACATGGAAATTTGTTGTTGTAAGTTCTACTAGTGTCAACTCATTTCACAGAAAAATGTAAACAAACAAACTTTCATCAAATTATTTTTATTTTGAAAATGAACAATTTTCGAATCCTCAAAATAAAAATTGAAAAACATGAATGAAAATCTTTCAACATTATATTTCTATCGCTTCCACATCTTTCCTATAATTGAGTCATTGCCATATATATGTGTAACACATATGAAAATGCTGGGAATAGCGAGTTATTCCTTGAAGAAAGATTTGCATCCTCAGACTTTCCCAGCAGGCGGATTGAGTAAATTGAATACATGAGCACATTTAATAAAGAACAAATTCAAATTGTATGCGTTCCCAATTTTCCTATTGTGTGGTTTTTTAAAACATAATTTGTCAAATTCTTATTGACACTAGTATTACGTTGGAATCAAATCAGCTGGGATTTGCTGTTACCTTTTATAATTGTACCATGAATTTCTACTTGAATTCGATGTGCTGTGTTACCAACCATTTGAAATATTATATGGAAAAATTTGACAGATAATCGAGACAAAAACAAAGGTTTTTGTCGGTATACATCACCTTATTATTGCATCATGTACTCATCTATATATATGAAAAATAAATTCCATAAAATTTTATGTATGTCGATTGGTGTTGAAATTATTTTTCTAAATGTTCCAGCGATGTCCACTGGAATTAAAACACACTTCAAACTTATAACAACACTTGACAAACAGAACAGACGATACTTCACAGAGAGGGACGTTACCTTATGCCATGTTCTGACGGGCATTCGAACAACGTAGTTAGCTCTCTGAATTACGTACATGAATTAACCTGTTCCAAGGTGTATTTAATAAGGTCTAAGTGACAATCATATGGTTTCAAACTTTTTTCTTTATTGTTTGTAAAGTAAATTGTCAAAAACATTTTTAATATTACATTTCGATTTCAAAAAGGGTCTTTAAATTGATGCTTTTTAAATTATAAAAATTCAAGAAAACTACATTCAAAGAGGAGGACGAAAAGGAAACCTAGGCTCAGTTATAACCCCGTACACCGAATGGTCCACATATTTTATGTTATGTGTTGAAATCTGTCTAGAAATCCCAGCTACTCATAAAATCGAGGATATTATGTTAGCCCTTGGTGCTATTCACAATACTCGGCGGAGGTTAAATACGTCTACGTTTGGTCTTTGGCCGGGGATTTATGTCCTTCAATTTTCTTTAAGATTGCAACATTTGAAGCCACTCCGCAGAAAAAATAGATTTTAATCCACAATATACACAACATCACAAGAAGCCATGGGCTACATGTGGGAAACTCAAAATTAATCGCGACCAGGTCTTAAACTTTATTTTTCACTGACCTAAAACTGCCAATAACCCAAGAATACACGAATTCATTAATTATTATTCCTCAAAGAATTTATCATTGTTTTTGTTTATTTTTGTCTAAAACTTATTGTCAGCATGACAATTTAATTTCTATAACAACAATGTTGTTTTTGTAAAATATTTGTTGTTGTATCTGATGCATACACCTTATTAAATACACCTTGACCTGTGTATACAACACTATTCTTAATTCATGTCATCAGAGTTTTTTTTAATGTATAATAACTATATGATTCATCCTCAAAGGAATCAGGTACAATGTGGGTAATTAATAAATAGGTACTTATTATATATATCACAAAAAAATCAGTCATTATTTAGTTATCCTCTGTGTGTTCCA